ATTGGCTGCCAATGAGATGGATCATTTAAATACTACAGAGCCTTATGAAGAATCAGGTGAATTTTTTTCAGTGACACACAGCCGAAATCCCCCCTCCCCCTCCACTTCAGGCGATAGATAATGACAAGTCTTTTGGCTAGTAGGGCCACACTGCGCATGCACCAATCCTTATTAACGCTGCGATAATCGAGAAGCTTTCAAAACAGTTTTACTTTGCTCTATTGCACCAAACTACGCGTGCGCACATCACCCGGCAGGTAACACATTGTTTTGACGACAAAAACCGCTGAGACGTGTAGACAATGCATACTGGAAGAAGTATGTGAAAGATACTTTGCAATATTGGAAGTTTTTGATATTAAATGAAATTAACTTTAATTAGAAGTTTTCCACTTGAGAGACACGATTTGATAAAAACTACGTTGAGAATACAACTCTAAAAGCGAAGCTGTGAATTTGTCGCCAAGATCCAAAGTTGCCATAATTTCAAAACGAATCGCATCACTGAAGCGAAAAGTGTAATTAAGATTACTCGCATTTCTTGGTTAAGAAAATTAAAAACAATTCAAACCTCTACCACTTATTTTAAGGTAAATTGTATCTTTCGAACTAAGTAAATTTTGTCATTAAACGAATTATAAAACGAATTATAAAACGAATTATAATAATTTCCCAATTATTTGTTACACTTCGGCTCAAATAGGAAAGAAAATTCGCTAGTTTTGGAAATTCATCAAGCCGTACCCATTTCCTTACTCCTCAAATAACCAAGTTGTTGTGTCAAATATTTCAGGCAAACTTTGCAAGATGGAAAATATTAAGAAAAGTACTGTATTTAATTTTCTCTTTAAGATAGAACTTCAGCAATTTGTTTATGGTAAAGTCAAACTAGTTTAGGTTCCTTAATCTTCTCTGTAAAATGGAATACCAAAATTTATCTTAGGGTATACTGAAAATTATAAAATAACACCTTGAACGGGTACTACATGCTACTGGTGTCCATAGTATTGTCTGAAACACATCAGTGAAGTTTTTGTTTGTACAGTAGATTTGTTAGGTGGTTTTTAATTAAACAGGGACGTGGAGGATAAACTGTAAGGTGAAACATTACCACTGAAATTTGTATCTGGGAGACACTTGTTCAAAGCGTACAACAACTCGGTTAATGGATGATTCTTCATTTACCTTCCACTTTTTTTCTACTTTTCTTTTCAGCGTTTGGATTATTTTTGACAATTTGTTTTCATCTTCCAACGCTCTCCTTCACAACTGATGTTTACGCTCTAGGCAGAGAGGAATTCGCTCAGAACAGTAAGTTAGCGGATCATAGAGAAGCAGACATCATATATCTTATACAAGCACAGAGTTGCCTATCTGAGCATTACACTTCATTTATAAAATTAGCAAGTAGCACTAGACGTGACGTTGTAGTTTTGAGTTGGGGCAGACGATGTCAAGATTCGTCCACAAATCTTGGCAGCGTGGTTTACATTCAAGGAGAGAATACGTCATGGAGTTCCGGGCGAAATTTGTTGTATCATTGGGCTTTGCAGAGAAACAGGAGCTATCTGTACTACGTTTTCCTTGATGAAGATATAGAGTTTATCTTCACATCGAATACGACTCAGGATAGGGGTTACAAGGAAGGAACTAAACATCCACTTGAAGCCTTTGAAAACTTTCTTCTGGACTACGAGCCCGCGGTAGGTCTGTGCAATTATTGCAGTCGTTGTGGGAAACTTGCGGAAAACGGTTCTTATTATGTACCTGCGCTTTGTTGCTCGCCGCGCCCTGAAACTGGAAATCTCCCACCGATTTTACCGGTTACAATATCTTTTGACGCCGCTGTTAACGCGTTTCACACCAAGGCAGTTCAACATATTCTACCTTATAGACTGGACTACGAGGAGATAAGCTGGTGGGAGAGCCAAAAATATGTTATTTTAAAGTCAGATATTTTATTTCGCGGTCAAGTTATACGCTATACGCCGGTGACTGCCATCAACAACGAACACAGGGATTATCCTCAACGACCAATTGACAACTGGGAGGATATATTGCTCGATATTAGGAAAAATGTGCCACACAAATATCAGAATCAAAGCGTTTTCAACATGAAACTGGAAGTTGACATGATTCCAATTATCTCTGGGAATTTCCTTTTCACACCATCATGGAATATTTCAATTCCTGGTCCTAAAGTACCTATTCAACCATACAGTCATTTTCACAAATAGCACAAGCAAAAGGCAAAAATGTCAATATTATCGGAGATATTTGATACATTTATCAACCACTCTTTCCGTTTTGAAAACTTCAGATAATTTAAGATACAATGACGCTGATTTGTAGGATCTGTTCTTTCCTAGCTCATTCCGTTCGCGCTTAATGTTGTGGGGATAAACCGTTGAAATGGACTGAAACCTTAAAAAAGTAATTAACCCCAGTAAAATAGGCACTTGAATAGGGGAGAAATATGAGTTAACATATAAGCTTTATTTTTAATCTTTTCTTGCGCTAAAACCAGTTATAATTCATGCAGTTAAGGAGAATCTACCCGGAACGTTACCGCCAAGCAACGAAACTAAGCAATGATGACACAATGTTATGAGTGGAAGGTTGAATTTTCCGGTAAAATTCAAGGACAAAAGCAACATAGCAAAATGTAGACAGGAGTTACGCCTTGACTGAGTAGTTCATTACAGTCTTGCACAAACATGGGAAGCTGTAACACTTTCCTTTGAATGGAGTTATTTTTTTGTCTACCCACGTACATGGTTAGTGTTTTTGAGAAATCTCTTCACTTTAAGTTAGTAATACCAAGAAAATTTCGCGTCAAGATGAGTTATAATTTATTTATTCGAATTATAGGCTATTCATCATTTGTTGTACATCCTTCTTAATATAATATTTTTGAAGAATACCCTTCAAATCGAGATTTCGTTATTCTTGCACAAATCTGGGTCAGTCTTCATCGAAACTTTGGCGGCTGCCTCGTTTCAAGAGCTTTTTTTCTGGAATATTTCTTTCCGCTGGTTTCAACCTGGTCAACAAAACGTATTCTGTTGAATCACTACTCCGTTCATTAGTTGTCATGGCCTCGTCTCCTGGTCGAGGGGGCCATTCAACGTACTGGGCGTTGGTTACTAAAAATGTTCATGTACAAGGAAAAAAAATTAAATCATCTAAATCCTTGTAGAATTCTAAGTATGTTGCGTAATTTAGTTATGAGTTGAATCTCAATGTTTAATAAAATACCACGCATAAAAATATAAAAAGTTCGAGGTGTGACTCTTACCTGCTACGCATAAGAGAACTGCAAGCGACAGTGTAATCCACATATTAGGGCTCATGGTGACAATCCGCGTTTCTTTGAAGCTGTAGAGATGTTTCTAGACTTGGTGCCTTTCTTTATTTAAAGTTGTGAGGTACGTGCGTGGTCGGAAAAAGGAGACTTCAAAATTTCGAAACTGCTAACCAAATACTCCACCGGGAAATTAATGCACTTCCTTAAAAATTTGGGCTCGTTTCCACTTGCGAAAGGGAGATCTGCTCGCGCTTAAGGGTCAATCTAAAAACCTCAGTTATTCATTATGGCTTCAGTGCATTTTGGAACAGTTCTGTTTAATCGTTCTTCGGAATTAGAATTCCTAGTTATGAAGCAAGCCAGCTATTCCCATCAGATCACCAAATTCCGCAAGAAAATGAAAAAACGCTTTTCAGCGAAGACAGCACAACCCATTGGTTGATTTGAGCTTCCGTTCCTTCCTTTTTTTTTTTTAGCAAATATCAAAATTATATCTCGGTAATTTACGAAGCCCCGAAGCCGACATTATATTTTGTAATTCATGTAATACCTAATTTTCTTCACGCGTTGGGATAAGATCTTATTATCGTGTGAATCTGAAATATTTCAAAAATAGAAACATGCTTTCTTTTTGAGGAAAATCAGTTGAAACGGTGGGCGCAAAATGCTTGGCGATTTAATATGACCTGAGGTATAGGTAATCTAACGACGACGGATTAATTCATCAGCTAGTGAAATGTGCAAAAAATAAGAGCGAATTTTCTACTTGCCCGTGGAAAATAGGAATGTTTTTCGGGATTTTCTTTCTGCAAATTTGATAACCTCGTTGCATATACCAATAACATAAATAGGTATGATTATTATAAAAAGTAACATTCGATCGATTAGTTGGTTTTTTAAATAGAATAACCTAAAAAACTGAATCAAAGACTTAACGATTTCCAAAACAATTTAGAGCTGTGTGGTTGATTTCCAGCTTCAACTTAATATGAAGATCTTAAAATTGCCAATGTCGTGCATTCGCAAACGGCTTTCATTAAGGCGGTATGCTAAAAAGACTCAATTTCTAATAGGATGTATGTTTGTAATTAGTGAGATGTGACGCGGAACCTTTCAAGATCTTGTTCAATTTCATTACCTAAGTGGATTTTACTTACATTAGATATCTGGGAAATGATAGTTGCCGAGAATATAATCATATTGTAGTATAGTTTCTCTTCGGTTTTAGATACGAAATGTGTTGCACAACTGAAAATACTTGGTCAGCTTCCGTCTGTGATATTCAACGTTTGAGTAAGAACATTTTTAGTTTAATTGGACGTTCCTAAAAGAATCCCCTTTACGGTCCTTTATTATTTCTTTCTTCAAACTTAAGAAGATCTGTTTTCCAATGTGATTTTTTGGCTATCTTTAAGAAAAAAAGTTCTGTATCTCCTAAAAAGAAGCAATATTAATTATGGAAGTACCTTGAGAAAAATTAGATTGTTTTCTTTGAAGGAAACGATGTTAAATCAATTAGGAAGTTTGGTTTACTATCTACCCAAAATATCTTGCCAACAGTAATTGAACTTTGATTCCAACGTTGTCAAAATTTAATTAAAAATCAAGCATAAATGCCGAAATACCTGTGCTTCCTGCCTCAAATTATTCCGTCTCAAAAGTGACGCTCTCCGGTCCATGAACGTGTAGATAAGCCAAGAACAGAAATTATAGCGAAAAGTTTTACGGTAATGTGGCCTTTTCTTCTTTTAAACGTTAGCAAGGATTATTGTCGTCAAAATCACCTCTCTTTGACGCTTTGGATCGAGAGGATCGCTTAGATCAATACTCGATTTGAAAACGTGAAAATACAATAGTGATAGGTAAAAGACTGAGCGAAAAAGAGGCTTTCCCAATTTAAATATTTAAAACTAAATTCCTGCTGTTACGATCTGAGATAACTCTATCCAAGTCCGTCTAAGAACAAAAGCCTCCAAAAAGTGCTTTTTTTTCTGGCAAATCTAGTGGCAAGATAACTTGGACACTATGTCATAAAATGATTAAATTTTTCGCCCTCAAGAAAGGGAAACATTTTTCCTCGCCAATGTCCATATTTTGGCCGAACACTTTCTACTACTGCCTACAAACGGCACAGATTTCATAACACTCCGTCACTCAGCCAGTGCACCGAAAAATTCATGCGCCCCTTCTGACACTAGCAGCTCCGCCGCGTGACACATTCAGATAGACCCTTGATTGCCGCAATGAAGCCGCCGGGAGACGAGATTTGGGAGATGGAGACAAGGTGATGTTCATGAGGATACCTTGAAGGACAAGCGGCCGAACGAAACAAACGGGGAGCTCTGAGTAAGGTCAGATGAGTAATGTACAGCTGTATTGTTAGTGAATATGATCCATTCGTTATACGACTTCATTTGAGAGAGGGTTGTGGTCACATTACGAAACATTTGTTTTCTTTAGTTCGAAATGAAATTCGCGCGGTGGACCGACGTAATTAACATTCCGACACTTTACGTTGATTGGCTAAACTTCTACGCTTTTACACTCAACAGGAAAATACAAAACCTTTTTTCTTTGTCTTTATCTATCACCTTGGAGGTCTGGAGGATTTTGGTTGTGTCATGATAAAATTGTCCCGATCCTTCCATAATTAAGGTCCTGAAATATTCTTATAATCCACCTCATTGACAGTTAATTGACAATCAATTCATTTAGTCCCCCCTATAGACTCTCTTGGCGACGACTGATCCTCCCTCAGTTCCCACGGAAAACCATGTGACCCCCCAAGAATCATACGATTCCACCCAGGCGATAAATTATGACTGGTTTTTGAAGCTTGTTTTGGGGTAGATAGATAAAGATATATGGGGTAGATAAATAAAGATATATGGGGTAGATAAATAAAGATATATGGGGTAGAGAAATAAAGATATATATGGCAAATAGATAAAGATATATGGGGTAGATAAATAGAGGATATTACATGGCCGCGCGCGGGGATACGAATTTCACTCGTGAGAGATACTTTCAGTACGAGAAGATAAAATTCCTATCCCCGCGCGGCCATGTAATGTTCTGTTTATTTTATTTATACTGATGAAATTTCAAACGAACCGGCCACGCGCCTGAGCGGGAAGCTCTCTTGTAATTGGCTAATCATGTTAGTAACCATGGCGACACCAATATCCTCACACAACAGTATCTTCACTGCGCGCGATGAAGATATGATGTTTTAGTTAAAAGAAAAGGGGCTATAGAAAAATCTTACTTGGTGGGGTCAGGAGCCCATTACCTAATGGGCTCCTGGTGGGGTACGAAAAATAAATACGGAGTAAAACTGTGCAGGACGTCATGTTTATTTACCTCTATATAGCAATACTAGAATTGTGTTAGAATCGAGTTTATTCCCTCGGAAAACCGTCAATTTTAGATTCTCGAGGCTTTCCGCGACTTCAATTTTCTCTATCCTGTTTGCATCGTTTACGAGCGGTTAGTTTTAATCGAATTTCTTGAATCTAAGAACGTAATGTGCGCGGTGCTCCCGATTAAACATCTTTCTACCTCGGTGAAAAATGGTTGTTTTTTTGCCAGGTGGAGGTCCTGCCATCCAGCAGCAAGCCGCGTTTTGAATATTTTTGTTAATAGCATCAGACGAGGGTTTATCAATGGCCCCTGATGAACTAGATTCTTCTTTGTCGCCTGAACTATCTGCCAGGGAGGTTCCTAGACAAAACGAGAACAAAATTTCGATTCTTAATATTGATACTTTTTTCATCTATTAACAAAAGTTATATTTTGAGCTAATAATTAAGTATGTTTGTTTTATTTTTTTCGTGCTTTGGAGGTTTGGTGCTAGAAAGACTCACTCACATCTGATGCTACTCCACACATCAGAAGAACATCATATGATTACCAACACATGTACAGTCAGAAGTAGTTTCCATGATTACCTCTCCCAACACAAACCCAATGCAAGGGATACCGGACGCACCTTTTGATTAACAGAGCGCAATCACTGGCGAGAAAGTGTGAAATAGGTGTTGACAAAAGTCGAAAAATTGATTTTAGGTGAAACAATATACAAAAGTAAATACTGTTTTTTGTCACCGTCTACTGTTTGAAAGAACTGGCGAAACTCCCGGAGATGTCTGACGTAAAAAAACCTCTTTTTAGCTATTAGTAAAAGAACAAAGTTGACCAAAGATATTTTGTTTGGTGGGTTGAATTTCAAGGTTAGAACGAATAGTACTTTAATTGCCTTTCAAGTTAATGAATAACCAAACAAACTATTAAAATAGTTATTTGTGTAATATTTTTAGAGAAAAATAAAAACATCATCTCATTTATAAGGGAGGCTTAATACAAAGAGGCAGGAATCAGAAAACAGGGCTCAGCAGGTACAAACATTGTTATAACCAGATCATTATTACAACATTACTGAAATAATCATTAACCTTGGCCAGGCAAGAAAATGATGTCTACGAAAGTAATTACAGGGCTCCTCACAACAAAGTGGAACAATGTTCAGTCAAGCTGGTACAATTACCAACCCTAGAACGGGGCAATAAACCCCGTGCTAAGATAATCCCTAACATTCGATTTTCTTTGCATGAAACTGAGTTACATGAGCCGTTTTCGAAGGCTGAATGGAAAGCTATCAGAATGACAGAGGGGTCATTAAACTTTCGTCGAACAGAACTAGTCTTAAACACTTCATTAAATTATATGTTCTGTGAGCAATTAGGAATGGTTTATAATTACTGTAAAGTCTCCTTCATGTCGTAATGTTTTCTTCTGCTTCAATCATACAGCAGTTGTTTTTGACTGAGATGAATTTAATTAGGCTTATCCGGCAACATATACAGAGCATTCAATGTAAAACGCAGCAGACTCAAACAAACGGATATCCACAATCTTTCACGCCAAAACTGTCATTTCCATTCTCCCACTCTTATTGCGTGCTGCGAGTATTCTAACTTGTTTATTTCCTATTTACTGAGGCCAGACCATTTTCTTACTTTGATCAACTTTCTTTTTGATCTGGTCGACATGACTCCTTTTTCTTTTACTTGTGCCTTGTCTCATTTTATCTCTGAAAATTGCATATCTGCAACTTTCTATTTCAGTGAAGTCTCGCTGATACCCATGGAGCTGAGTTTCATAAGATGTAAAAACTGAACACCAATACGTATCTGTTGCCAAAATGAAGCTGTTCTTTGAAGTTTTTGAACAAATGATATATCTTAGAAAAAGATGTGATCATGTAGTCCAAAAAAGACAAATTTTTTTAGACGATGATAAATGGTAAATGCACTCTAATCAAACATAATGCTCTCATGTTTCACTTCCACGATAATTTAAGAAGAAATAACGAAATTTCCCATGTGTAGGCCGGGGTTGTCAGTTATTAATATTTTTCCTTCTTACGCTATTTCATCAAGGCACAACTGTGAACTTGGAGACAGGAAGTGTTTAGAGCGGGAACACAGGAACAACGTGATCAAACTCTTCCTTCTTCTTCAAGTGACACTTCACACCAATGAATTTCACGAATTTCACTCGAACAATCTCTGCTGTTATGTAAATAAACTGAACGAAATATTTTGGCATATTATGGTTGTGTATTTATCTTGTTACGTGCACATTGCTCTGTGAATGCCAAATTTGATTTTAAGAGCCACTTTGTACAACTGTGGCGTGGAATTCCGATCAAATGATTTGCGTTGAATAATTACAGACCAACTCAAAGTTTCATCCACTGCGTTAATGTAAACCTGAATCGAGCTGATTATTAGGTTAAACCAACTCAAAAGTCTGCTTTGAAAGTTTCATTACCTGGTCTCACACTGGGATTTCATTCACATACTCACAAATTGTAACCACATTATGCCTTGCACTCACCATCCTTCTCACAGAGAAGGGCCAATGAACTCTCAACAGAACCGCATGAAAGTAAGGCTTAGAGGCTTTCATTTGAATGGCCTTACTAGCATTTCACCCACAGACTACAGAGTTATAACCAATTTGTATACCAGTATAATACGTAGTGATGGAACTTCTGCTCAGTTGCTTTCATATGAACGATCACACACGTCGGGGTTTCATTCACGACTCGAAATTCAGAGTACAGCCCACTACCTCCTTAAAAGCTAATATATATATATATATATATATATATTTTATGGAAGAATAAAATACGAACAGCCAAATTCTCAATTTATTTCGAAGAACGAAGATAAAGTAATTTGGGAGGTAAATTTTTCAATTCATAGCGGTTTTCACTATTACTCTGAATTAAGCCACAACCAGGAAATTGATTTAGGGGCGAATTTTATAAGATTTAAAGAATGCTTAAACTCAGTACTTTTAGCACAGTCAGTTACACACATCTCCCTCTATAACGATTGGTATCGAAGCCGACAAAACTCAAATAAAAGATTACAAATTAAATATCGATTCAAAGTAAAAATGTCATGCATCTCCCTAAGCCTCACAAGCGTACAATGGGAAACAGTTTAGATTCAGTAACAAAATCTGTTTGGATAAAAGAGCATGACCTACAAAGTTAAAATCCCTTTACAAATAGAATCTAATTTAAACGAATTTATAATTTTAAAAATTAAAGCAGACAGATTATGATTTGGAATGAAATTAATCTAAGGAACGCTGGTTTACCTGCCGTAAAGATTAAACTGCTTAAGAAAACTGCGACGAATGTTCTTGGACACATTGTACTATCTGCTAAGCTTCGGGTCTACACGCAAAGCAGTGGCGACTGTGAAGCTGGATGTACTTAGTGTCGTGTTATTTATAGGCGACTGATATTTGCGTGGTCGGAGAAAAATAGACATCAAAATTTATAAAACATAAACTAACAGTGTACAGTCAGGAAATAGAGGAAACCTCTTAATCAGTTTGAAGTCTATTTCACGAAAGCTCACTAAAGGGGAGCAGAGTCTATTGCTAGAGTACTGTTAAGTGCCATTTCGCTTCAGGCAATAACTGAAAGCAAAAAAATTGTTTGTAAAATAACGTAAAATGAATCATACTTGTGGCAGAATTTTTTTTGTAGTGAAAAGAGCAAGAATTGCTCTGAAATCATGGGGTTTTGGACAAACAGTCTGGAAGAATTAACGATGTGGAAAGGTAACATAATTTGCACTTTCTCTCTTCAAATAGGATGACCTCAAGAAAAGAAAATTCATTTTAATCTTTAATAGCGAGGGTATTACATAAGGAACTATGTGCTAAGCACACATCTGGCTCTGAAATTGAGGAAGACTATAGAGAGCTGAATTCAATACCACCCCTTGAAGTAAATATAGGAAAAAAGCGTGGTAAATTATGAAAATAAAGCTGTCAAGTGCAACCCTTTTTAATGGGCTTAAATGGAGTGTTGATGTACAATTGACAAATTTGGAACATCATTATTTCATTCATGTATTGTCCTATGTTTGTGAAATCATGATAATGCTGCAGCTAACCCACTGGAGGCGTAAAATTTACAACACAATACACGTCATTGAAACTAATGGAAATTAAATCTTTTTTTATTTTTTCGCTTTACAATTATGGGTCACAATTTTTTGACAATTTTGGATTATCAACTTGAAGCAAAAGAAACTTGTCATAATAAGTGACGAATAAGAAATATGATGCAAAGTGCGTTTTATGAGCTTTTATTTCCGAAATAATTCCGTCTTTTATTCGAACTTCACATTTTAATTACTGTTTGTAGTCGCAACAAATGTAATAAAAAATATCCTCCCATGTTGTTATGAAATTCAATAAAAAACGGCACGGAAAAGCTTAGCTTTAAAAAAAAAGGAAGAGAGGGCCGGCAATTGTCACATTTGGGAAAGAAGAAGTTCCCATAATTTTACGTAAGAGGGAAAATCAGTGGGAATAACGCACAAAAATATCGAAAAAAATGAGTTTTGGCTTTTTGCTTTGTGATATTTACATTGGTACCCTTACCGTCTGAAGAATTTAAGTGTTGTCTGCCGCACGTGTCAGTGTACGTGCCTTGAATGAGCATGAAAAAGGAATAGCAAAGAAGCTGCTTTCTCGAACTATGACCCAACAAATTGATCTCATTGCTTTAGTTTCTCAACATTAAATTGAGAAAATGATTTTTACAGGGGAGGAAGTGAGAAAAAAAAATCAAATTTCTTGTACCAAATTTAAATAAATAGTGAATTCAGCTAAGGGGCAAAAGTCACCTCAGTAGATAAAATCGGGCTGATTTTATATTTACTCATTTTCTCCTGGAGACAGTAATTTGGCAAGCCATTTTAGAGAGGGTAAATTTCTGTGAAATTTGTTACTCACCATGTCGTTTTGAAAGAAAGCTCAAAACTTCCGGAAAATGTTGACCCGTGGTCATGCAGCCCCACTTCTCCCTCAGAGTTGTCAATGCTAATTAATTAGCTTTTAAGGACTTTTGAAAAGGTAAATACGTGAGCCATTTTTAGACGATTTGTACTCTAAAGATGAGCTGAACTGACGTTGATCATGTGAATTACCGGTTTATTGGGCACATATCACGTTCATAGTACTGATGGCTCTCGAAGCTGATAGTTTTGTTGTTTCATTCATTCACGACGTTAACTCTTATCTGATCGGAGCGTCTGTCCATTCAGTTCCGTATAGCCTGTTCTAATCGTTGTCTCCAGATTAAAGAGCAAAGTTGTTAGATAGTAAATAGTTTTACTATTTACCCTATTTTAAAGTTGTAAATGCACCCCTTTTTACATCTCCTATGTGCTCTCCCTTTCATTGTAGGAAAAAACCATTCCTTTACATTCAATAAATTATTGAATGTCGTGTTTCGTTAGTTTTTTAGTGACAATTCCATTACGCAAACCAATTACAAATTTGGAAACGTCCAGGGTGAATTTTTCTCAAGGGAGAATCAAATACTCGCATAAAGTAAGAAAGATAAGATCGTTTTAGCATAAATCAATTCGAACTTGATTCATTCCTTGCAGGAGAAATTTAAGCTCATTAAATAAGTAAGGTATTGATGAATGTTTTAATTACTTTATTTACTAATTAATTGTAGACATTCTAATTTTTGTAATGATACTAAAAATACCTCACAAAGAGAACACACGAATCAACACGAAGGCTGTCTGGAGGAAACCTTAGTCTACACATATAAACACGTGAAAAGAATACCAAGTCAAGTCAAAAATTAAAACGTGAACTGTTAGGAATATTGCAGTTCAACTTTGATTAACAGCGAGTGTTCCTGGCTGATTATAAAGTGTGAGAAGTTTCCCGCGAGTTGCTACAAAATGTGGAAATGACTTCATATGCAGGGGATTTCGAGGCCCAAAAATGTATTGATGCGAGTTAAAATCGATCAAAACAGTTAGGCTTAAGAAAGATGTGTTTTCGTCATGTCACGAGCGTGGGACAAAGAAAAATTCTGAGTCCCCGTGAGGAATCGAACCTCAGATCTTCGGATTTGCGTTCCGATGCTCTACCACTGAGCCACTAAGACTCTTCGGTGAGCGAGGTCTATTACGAAGTTCTTATGAAACGCGTCCTGCATACTGCTAGGATCAGCAATGTCGATAGCGTAATGTTTTTGCTGATCCTAACAGTATGCAGGACAATAGTGATGCGCGTAGAAATGAAAGTTTTTCGTTGAGTGGTATTATTGTTAATTCCACAGGGTGTGTAGTCCTCGAAAACGCAAAAACGAGTTACCTGCGGATTTGATCATTCATCTAAGCTATGATGAAAGAGGGACGTAGTTGCTTAGTCAGCATTGGCACTAGAAGGTATGGAAGTACTGGATTCGTTGGACGTTGCATGCAGATACACGCACTCATGCAAATTATTTCTTTCATCACATTCTTCCTTATTATTTCGAATTTCCGAGATCAAGTTAAATAAGGAACTACTGCATATCCGGGTGGGAACGTTTGGACGTTCAAACCGACAGAGGTAAATTAACAATATGTTTGTTTCCCACGGGGCTTTTGAGCTTGAGGACAAAGTTATCAACATGATATCAAACTTTTCGCCACTACAAACAACCCCGTCATCAAAAACAGGAAAATGTACTTTATGCCGTTAAAAAAATACCATGAGAAGGTTTTTTTTACGTAATTTGATCGCAGTTTGAGTTTTTAACTGTGAATTTGGAACGAGCCACAACATATTGGTTGGCTCAGTGTGTCAATCAGTAACCTTCGATCACGTTGCAACTTAATTATTCTAACCCCACTCCAACAGGAGGTTCATGGAAAATGAGATTAGGATAAGATATACATCCCTTGCAGGTTTTGTCACGTAGTGCATTAAAATAGCTCAGCAGAACAATTTTGCTCGTGTGCCAACGGAGAGAAGTATAAACGTAGTACAGTCATCCAAGAATGACGCCAAAATCTTCTGACATTCTACAATGTTGGCCACCGCAAAAAGTAATCGCTGTGATGAAGAATGACTATCCGTTGTGGCGTCTGATGATAAATTGATCAATCTCTGCATGAGGGATACAACCAGAAGTTGACTCTTTTGATCCCAAATCCGATATAAATGAAATAATACGAGAGAAAAAATCTACATCTCGTTATTGGTGACCCATGCTTATCTCACGTTTCAGACTCGCGACGTTAAACATTACCTTAGCGCATGGGACGAGCTATAAAAGAGAATTAAAAAGTTACACCAGTCTCATATCATAATCATGTGTAATGAAAATTTTCTAATTTAGTGAATGGTCAACCTTTCAATAGAGCAGGGATCCTTAAAGCTCTAAAGGGGTCTGATAGAAGGCAACTAACATCTAACGTTGCACCCTGGAAAGGCAATTGTTGGAACATATTAATTACCAACAAGGTGTTGACGGTAATTCTGTTTTTGGTTTTTCTCATTTGTTTTGATTTTCTCCTAAGCCAGGGCGTTAAGTTTGTAACCTTTAAGAGCTAATAGCACTTTAAAACGATTATAACATAATAACTGTAAATGATCAACACCAGTCACATTAAGGGATTTCATGGATAAATTCACGTTCAAAGATGTTGAATACCGCCCGAAAAGGCTGATAATCATATCATTTGACCAGTTTCACGATGAACTGAAAACGTAACGATGAAAATCTTACAGTCGAATTTCCGTGACCCCGGGTATCTCACATCACGGTCCTTGTCGCCCCCTTTCCTTTGGACTTGTATACATATTCTCAACAAACGCTGTGGCATCAGTATTTGAAATGCATTTTATTCTTTAGTCTGCAATGTTCAAAAATAATTTCAGTGTCTTTTTAAAGTTATTTAGAGTTGATTTGAGGGAAGCTGAGGGAAGTTGAGGGAGAGGGGGAGGGAGGGAGGGAGGGGTCGGGTCTCAAATATCCCCGCCATAAGGTTTTCTCTGGTCTCTATTATTTTTTCTTCCGGTCCGTTAAAACTTAAATTAAAATCATTGTTTTCGTATTTATTTTAAGACAAACAATTATGTAGGCCTCTGCCCGACTCCCGTTGGCACCGTTGAAGTTTAGGTTAACAAAATAAAACGCCTTCACAGCCAAACCCTGAAATATTAATGTTGTCTTATGAACAGTTTGAAAAAATGATATAAATTTCCGGCATCCATATTTGAACACGAGAGTCAGCTCCTCATGATCCACTGATTAAAAAGTATAATCGTGTACGTCGACGGTGATTCATTGATTAAAAAGTGTAAGAGTCGACGATAACCCCTCTCTGTCCCTACATCAACCACCCGGCCAACGAACGACCATATTCCTACGTCTTTCATTGTTAGTCTATTATCTCGTGAGAGGTCATGGAGAGAGTCACGCGCAGGTCTATACTGTAAGCAAAGAAGCCAAAAATTACAATTTTTGCGGCGTCAAAAGACAAAGAAACCGCGAGATCCCGTGATTTTTCAACATCGAAATACGTTCGATGATATCTTACATTTTTGTTCCTAGTTAGAATAACTATGAAAGAACTCACTAGAGTGAAATCACCTTCCAATGAAAGTTATGGTTCTCTCTCCCTCTGTTCTCCATTCAACCCACCATAATCTCATTCCCACTCTCACTTCCAGCTCCCCGCTACCACGAGCTTTGACAAAGCTACTGTGCTTTATTCCCTACTTTCAACTTCTACTTCTATGCAGCCCTCGTGAAATTAGTAAAAAAAAGTCTTGCCTTCATCGAAAACACAGGTATTCGACAGATTATAAAGGAGTTAATCTGCTAAGAAACCATACATGTCTTAATTCGGGATAATGATGATACCAACATTGCTATTAGGTAAGATTTGAACCGACCTGGGCTGCACAATACGTAAGGCTTGTTAAGTTTTGTTTAATTGCCACACACAGACGATTTTGTCTACATTTGAGAGCTAAAACACCTTGTTCATAGTAGTAAAGAGTATGATGCGCTCTCCCTTCTTTCACCTAGATTGGGATATTAGGGTGACTTTATTTTATGCATAATGATTACCACATCTACCTCATGTATCACGTATGCAACGAATGTATGCAGGATTTCATCGATAAACTGAGAGCAAATGTTCTATCACGATGGTTGTTTTTGCTCGCTTATAATTAGAATAAATACCTTGCTAAAAAAGTGAAATTTTCAACAAATGAGCAACATCAAAGCCAATTAATCCGATAAAAATTTTATGCTTCAGACCTGGTTAAATCTCTCGTCTTCGTCGTACCAGATATCACTTAATTTGAATTGGATAGTTTACGTTGACTTAAAAAAAAGCAAAATTATCCAAACAAAAGATCACCCTCTTCACATAAGTACAAAGGTTGGGGTCAATGTCTTGACAACTCACTGACAAGTTGCTTTCCCTGAGTCATTGCCTGATAACAGCCTGCTTTAATCTTGTGTACCCAGTGAAAAATTTATGGAGCCTTTATTTATTTACTCCAAGAACAGTCTCGAATGATCCAGCCCTGAGTTCCAGTATCATGGTCAAGACTTAAGGAGTTCAACCAAGAATATTTAGCAGTGAATTCAAGTACCTTGCTTTATCAGATGGGATAGGAAGTACCATGTTTTTAGCTTCGTCGGACGTTTTGAAATTTATTGCGTATCCTGTTTTAACTTCCATTTTTTTCCTAATAGACAACGTTAAGTAAGTTCGCGTGACCCACATTTCTGTACCTTTCATCACACTTAGAAAAAAAACTGTTCATTTTTTTTACTGACGTGACGTAGGAAGCAAGTTAACGATAAATAAATCGCGATAAAGGTCCAATACTCAAAGCGGATGGATTCGGTTTGATAATGAAACTGTGCTCAGAAATGTCTGTTGAGCTTAAGTCAAATGAGAAATGGGATTGTATTTTTCGATATTTCAACTTAAACCTAAGCGCATGCAAACATCAGTCTAAATTTACGTCACGAAGAATCTGATAGCATTGTAATTGCACTTCCACGCCTTTACAGTGAGCTGTCTATTTTTGGTGGATGAAACAGGTTGGAGAGAGTGGGGCGCACAAACATATTTGAACAGATTGGTTATGTTATGCCATAAACTCGTGGGAAAATAAAGAAATTGTCGAAGATTAACGGAATATGTTTGATCAAGCGGCGGTCTGATAAAATTTGAGACTGATAGGTTTGATAATTGAATTATCAGCGAAACTGTTTTTAGCTGAGCAATATTTTGTTTATTTCGACGGGGGTGACCTGGCATATCTCATGACGCATTTATGCCACAGGTCTTCCCCCTACAGACTGTTTAGAACATCATTGGGTGTTTATGTCTACATTTATGTGACACTTCATTTTTGTCATCATGGCGAAAAACGTGCCATCTTTGGAAAGCAAAAGAACATTCTTTGCATTTGTAATATGCCCGGTGAAACTGAACACAAAAACATCCCTAGTTTTTATGAATGATTTGCGGAATTTGCACTTGGTGATCATCCCCCCAAGTCAATGAACAAGAGTGATTAAATTGGTGTCTTATTCCCTGTCTAGTATCAAGAGAAAACAATCTCATTTATTTAGATGCATGCCAAACGAGGCCATATTACCTAACTGATGAACACTGATGAATTTCCGTTGTAGCCATTCGCTAATGCCACGCGCAGTTATGGAAGTATAGGCTCTTTGATATGTCACTCACGAGGTTGGCGGTCTGGTAGCAATGAGCTGAAATTGGATTTCAAAACTTATTGCACCTTTGGCTCATCATTACAACCACGGGAGTCCTCTTTAGGGAAACACGACGTCTCTAAGTAGCTCTACTGAAGAGCCACACGGCATTGAACCACGAATTAAGGCATTAGCTCCGTCTGTCCCCTCAAACGAGTTATGATGCATCTATCACTGATGACAAGGATAGCCCTGACCTGTGTTTTTCTAGGCATTCACGCTCTATCAAGTGATACAAGGTAAGCTTCCTTATCTCACTTTTCCCACGGTTTGACTCTCAAAATGTTCATTAACGTCAACATTTTAACATCTCATCAATACAACTACGCTTTAGACTTTCAGGGTACGATATTCTAACATCGGGACTTCCTTTGGAGGTTGATCCAATACTGAACCCCAACACCGTTTGTAAGAACACACCGTCTTTGAACAGAGAACAACTGGAACTTTGTAAAACGCAAGCCGATGTTGTTGCTAGCGCGTTACAAGGAGCCCAAATGGCGGTACATGAATGTCAACAACAGTTCGCATACACAAGATGGAACTGCTCGTCCTTGGAGACCAAAAACGGCAATCCCTTGACGAGTGACTTATTAGCTAGAGGTTAGTACGTACAGGTATAAGCATACAGGCTTAATATGCTGAGCACAAATCCGGCTTATAATCTCAGTTCTGAACGTTCCTGGTGAGGCCATTTATCCAATTCAAGGAAGTGGCAAATCACTCTACTGTGTAAATACTATGCGGCATTTCAGGTAAGCAGCTCTGGTTTTTGAATAAGTTGCAGGGATTATTGAAAGAAAAATAAAAAAGAGATGCTGTTAAATGGTGGAAGACTGCAAATGTTTGGATGTGACCCAAGGCCCTTTGATCTTTCCATATGTCGCTCCTTTTTTTTTTTTTTTCGTGCTTTAGGCCTTATCATTCGGTTTTTCTTAATTTAGCATCATAAATATCGTAAGCGGACAGATTCCTGTACTTTGACAAAGAGGTGTAAATATAAGTCACGCGGTAAAACCCATTAAGTTTATGATTGTAACATGGCCTCCTCCAAGTGCCAGGTCTAACGTAACAAATAAACACTCTTGTAAAGGTAAACATACCGAAGAAGGATTCGACTGGCCTAAGTAGATTACTAAACTGCAACACATGTTAGCCCTTTCGATCTCATCCGATTCAGATTGTTAGGTTCATTGTCTAAGTGTAGTGAAATGTCCTCTCGAAAATCTTAAAGTCCTCTTAAAATGGAAAGCTTGGCGCAGACCTTGATACTTAACAGAAGAGTCTTAATCCGTTCATTAGAAATTTATCCGCCAGATTTTAGGCACCTAAGAAAGCCGAACGCCATTAAAAGAAACTAACTAAGTTCCGACATCACTATCAACATTAAACTGATTTATCTCACTTGAAATACACTAAGTGCTCTTAGTTTCTGGTTTTATTTACTCGTCGCGACGAAGACTATGCTGTCCGGCGGCTAAGAATCAATCACATACACAGCAGGTTGGAAGATTTGTATTACTACGACCACCTTTTGACTATATAACCACATCCTAGTCTCTTTCCTAAAATATGTTTACTTTATTAAACGGGCACTCTCTAATCTTTGCCTTGATCTTCACCTGTGCCACCTCTAAACGCTTCCGGTGTTGCCTGACAATCCTATCTCTGATCGCCATCAAGATCTTGCCTAGATAATGTCTCAAACTTCTTCAATTAACTTGCAGGTTTCAGAGAGACAGCGTTCGCGCACGCTATTATATCTGCCGGCATGACACAAGCAGTTGCAACATCTTGTAGCGCGGGTAAACTTGGAACATGCGAATGCGACAAAACCGTCAAAGGAGAGGGTCAGGGCTGGAGCTGGGGTGGATGCAGCGACAACGCTCTTTACGGTGCCGTGTTTACTGCCGATTTTATGGACTCTCGGGAAAGAGGGACAGATATAAAGTCACTGATGAACCTCCACAACAATCGAGCAGGACGTCTGGTAAGAAAACAAGCCCTTTGTAATTTTTACACAACCACTGAACCTTGAAGGGGTGCCAAACACAAGTCTAACACATTTCATCGAATCTTCACCCGATCAGAGAATCGAAATTAAAACATCGTGACGGAGAAGTTGTCTCCAAACGTGGTATTCGAATGGTTACCTGAGGGGGATAAATCCGCAAACCGAAAGGTCAAAATCACACGGTTCGATTCGACTCCACTCAAGAGGAGTTAGGATGTCCGTTCATAACAGATCTCTTACCCCATCGTTTCATTACATCAGACTATTCCAACAATTTGGCGGTACCTGTGTGTCATTGTCGTCTGCTAAATGGCTCTTTTGAAATTCCTAAATGTATCATAGAATGATTACGCATGCATGCTTTGTGTTGGAATATTTGCACGCAGGGTCAGAGATATGACACATTTGTATCACGTGTTTGGCAACCTTGACACGAACGCTCAAAAAAGGCACGGAATGCTATAATCCCTCCATAAAATTTAGCTTTTGCCCTATAATACGTTACCTCATTGTATATATAGGTACTGCAGCGGTTTTAGCCTTGTTCGTGCATCTCATCGGATTGTGTGCATGGTACTATGTTCTGGTACTTTCAGATAATTGGATTTTCCCATCACTTCCTAGAGTTGCCGACACATTTTGTGGTTTCATTTTTGTGTCAAACCCGCTTCAGAGAAGTTGTTAAGTTTTTAAGATTTGATTTATTGAAACTTGTTCGAAAACAATTCAGACCCTAAGTTGATATTTCAACAAGAGTTGCGCATTAGCAAATCCATCAGGAGTTTCCTATCGTCAAGAGGCCGTTTGATAAATATACCTATCTAGGAGCTACCAGTACCTTTGAGAAGACAAGAGGCGAGGGACCGATTTTAAAATAGATCAGTCGCTTTCTGATCCAATTATTAAAGGTGATACCAAACCCTTTGAAAAAAGTCGTGAATTTAGAAGAAGGTCTGGAAGTACTTGACGTAAGAATGGTAATTTCCTGTTCGGGAATTTACCTCTTTACTTGGTACTTTTTCGCTCGGGGAGATTTTCGTGCTTTCAGATTATCCCTTCCTCTTATATGTACCGACGATAATGAGCAAATCTGGAAGCAATACCGGGCCGGTTAATTAGCTGATTTAGAGAAGACATAAAAGGGCCGAGAAATCCCCGCTGTGTCTGAATCAATTGGCTTAATAGCTCTTTGAAGACGTCTGTGTATCAAAAGGACCAGGCGGGCGTCTTTACACATTGCGTTCACTTATGAAGATCAAAAGGGCATTTCGTAAAAAAGCAGGGAAATTCCAAGATAATTAGAACCAGATATTTTGGATGAAGAGAAAAGCGTCAACAGAGATATACAGCGAAGTAGTTTAGTACCTAAATAGCCCGGGGGGGGGGGAATACTTCCTAGTGATAGGATGAGGGGGTTCTACTGCTGGATTGATTCGAATTTTCATGAATAGATTGGCTATATATCACGGGGTTACATTTTACATAAAGTTACTAGAATGCGGGCACACATTTTCGAGGTGTTTGGGGTAAGAAAATCCTGGTAAGTATGGATTTGAAAATGGGAAGATATGCAGTTAATGAGTTGTTACCATTTTTAATTTGTCAATTCATTTTAGGATAACTAACTTAATAAGGTAGATGCATAAATAGAAAGTGACTAAGTCGGGATCGCAAAAATTACATTTGCTCAGAAATGACTAAAATGGGGTCTAATTGGCCACAGAATAGACTCTAATGTAGTAAGGGCTCTTATAGGCCAACGGTACAAACGCAGCAAAAATTGACTTAAGTACCCCCCTCCCCCGGACAACACTGTCGTTCATCTCATGTGCTCTTCGCACGATGTCAGGTTCTCGACATAAACTAGAATCATCGTTGGCTTCGAACACTTTTCTGCTCATCAAGTCGTTAGTTTTCCGTAGGATAAAGCTCATGTTGTTATTAAAGATGTGGCAAACACACATTTGCACATCTAATTAGCACACACTTTTATTCGCATGAGGGACTTTTATGCACCCTAGTGGGTTTTTCATTGAAATCAAGACACACGTCGTTAAGTGGTAGACATTCGTTATGTATTAAATGAGTTTTACATGGATGATTGCTGAAACAACAAAAAATGAAATATTACCTGTGACATATGAAGTGTAGTGGTTCATCTTTACTTTACCAGATGTCCTGTGTGTGTAATTACCACTTACTTTACTCTTCGATAAAAAAAGAAAATCTTACAGCTCAGGACGATACCAATCTACTGTTTTATTGATTTTTAGACAAGTCCATTAACATCCCTTATTTATCACGATTCTTCAAATATTTGTAGCAGAATGGTTGATCAAGAAAGCTTGAGAAGTGAGATTCTTTATCTTAAATTTTCTGATTTTCAATCCAGCCGCGAGTTTTTGGCTGGTTTAAGAATCAACGAAATTCTTTAGGCGAGTCGGTGGATTAATAATTAAGACAGTTTTGACCCTTTTTTTGGTCTCCTCTAAATGCCCTTGTGTGTCATAGTTAAAATAAAAGCTAGTTAACAGTACTTTTGAGTGGCACTGTACATCGTGCTCTACAACGTGGCTGAATATTTTTTGAATTGCGGCTAAAACTCTAAAGCATGACAATCTAATTGACTAAACTAAGTTTATTTCTAACCGTATGAGAACACAAGCAGAACATTCATTTGATACTATCCTGTACTTAGAATATTTACACAAAAAGGGGAAATCTATGCCATTCCACCGTTGCCACTTTGGGAAAATTGGTAATTTGGGGTTCAAGCAATGGAAGAAAGCGTAAGCAAGCCCCCCCCCTCCTCTTTGGAATGGTTGTGATGAGACTCGCTGCGTTATTCATACCAATTGGACATTTACCGCCGTTCAACTTTGAGTCACAACCTGTGCGCTCATTTTTACCGAGCCACACCTTCCTAAGAACTTTTAATGGTAAACGGATCATTTTTAACTTAATTTCATTAAATCCTTTTGACTTCAAAGACTATGTAACTCAATGAGAAGAAAAATTCTACATGATCCGCTTATGGAGGATTAGTTACTGTTAAAATATTTCAAATAGAACTGATGGATTCATGTAGATTTCGATAAAGACACTTGACAATGGTGGCGGTTTGCCTTTGTAACATGAATACCTCATTGTCATCCGTTAAAATCCGGAAAGAAGAAATAAAAACATCGATACACATCAGATCATGTGTATGTGCTAATGCTTAAAACATGATTATCCCTAAAAGAATGTTGATAAACTGAAAAGACTCTGTTTGGTTGAACAATGAAAGTCTTTTAACTTCTCAGAGAACTTTCTTGATCAATCTGCACTTGTTATTCAGGAAATAAAAGCCTTGTCCTAGTGTGACTTTCTCCGAATATGTTCAACTTAACTCTGCCTAAATGTCAAACTTAAGAACCATGCACGCATTAAAAACTCTCTCCATTATCCCTCAAATACAGTAACTATGGTGTGTAAACTGCCGAAGTTTACGTAAAATGTTTGTTGTTTATCAACCATGTTGCTTCGAGACATGCCCTTTGGTACGGTAAACCTCATAAAAAATGTGAAATTTTCGGTGCTCGTGCGATTTTATTTTTTACAAAGTTATCATGATGAAATTACTCAGCGTACACAGTGAGATGACCGTGTCCACCTCGCAGGGTGATTGCTGACTTATTTCGTTCGTGCATTGGTTCAAAGGACGGTTGGCCTTCACTTCGTTTCCTTGCTCACTCGTAGAATTGTTTTTTCCATTCATCCTTCTTTACCAGTTTGCTTCCATGTTTATAGCTTGCTGGGTCTTCAAATGTGGGTTAGGTGCAACAAAATATGGGCTGATGAACGCTTTCATAAGGACATCGTGTAAAATCACGTTTTCCAACCACAAGATAACACTAATTACTCAGGTGCTCCATGGGAGGCCTGGCTTCTAGGACACGGGATCTTTGGTGTTCTGTTACAAAGCACCATCGAATTTAATGCGGGCGTTGTTCCGATTTATCACATGTAGACTTAAGGAACTATTTGAGAAGTAGTTCAAAACACTCTTTGAAACACTTCTGAGACATACGGGCGCCTAAGAACACGGAAATATGTGTTCAGTTAAAAATCATGCTCAAGGAAAAATAATTAAGTTATCCATTCGTTTCTTTACAGGCTGTTCTGGATAACATGAAGACTAAGTGCAAATGCACTGGTGTGTCCGGCTCTTGCACTATGAGAACTTGTTGGAAGACTGTTCCAGAATTCAAAGAAGTCGGAACAATTCTTATGGAGAATTACGAGTATGCCATTCTCATTCGAGCGAGCAACAGAAATCGCGGCAAAATACGACCACGTAAAACAAAGACAGTCAAACAATATGAGTTCCAAAGAAATCTAGTCTATTACGAACCCTCGCCAAGTTACTGCAATAGAGACGACTCGAAAGGCATAGCTGGGACTAAAGGAAGAATGTGCAAGGTTGATTCTCTCGGAAGCGACAACTGTGACACTCTTTGCTGTTCAAGAGGATACAACAGGATACACGCCACTATAAAAAGAAGATGTCGCTGCCACTTCAACTGGTGTTGTTTTGTACTGTGTGACGAGTGCGTGGAGAAAGCGTGGGTGACCATCTGCAAATAGTAGCGTTAGCCTCTTCTTGACTCTGCTATAGTGTAAACATATCTATCACAGTATCAGTTGGAAAAATCCTGTTCTCGCTTCGTATTAGAAGACAGTTTCCCCTTTGAAAACTAAGTCTTTCTTCCGGCGGTTCGTCCACCTGAGTACCCATTTAGCGTTGCGAGGCTCCATTAACATTCCAAACTGACAGTTATTCTAACACTATATGCACGAGAAAAACTTTTACCAAATATGAGTTGAGATGGAATTTAAAGAATGTTCACCTATTTTGAAAGTAATGTTCAGAAAGTACAAGACATGCTATCTGTAGTTACAAGCGCAGTATAGATATAACTGTATGGAAAAGTTATAGTTTTGCAACCAGAGAACGAGAAACGTCAAGTTTTTTTCAACCTGGATTTTGATAATAAATGGTATAAAATCAGAAAACTTCACAGACCGGTCATTATTTATCGCCGGGGAAAAGGAGGGGGCGGGGACGGAGGATTTTTGTTGTGTCACCTAAGGTTCTACAGTATTCTAATGGTTCCCTTACTGTCAGTCAATTTTCTACAGTCCCCCTTTATAACGATGTAATTTCCTCCATAATCCTCTGCTCCCCCCTCCCCCGCGATAAAAAATGACTGGTCCCTTGACCTTGGTTCCTATGGGGCCATTTGCGATACCCTTATTAAGTTTGGATATCATTTAGAAACGAGCAAAACCTCATTCTTGTTTAAATTAGTTGTTGTTATAAACAAAGTACTGTTACCAGTGGAATGATCGTAACAAATTTAAGATAACCGAACAGATATGACTGGAATCTTAGATGAGAAATTGAGTGTTAGCAGCCACTATATGCTTTTTGCAAGGTAATCCCCGCCCGCCCCCAGTCCCCGACCATTTCAATGTATAGAGCTTCAGAGGGATTTTTGTATAGCATATTGACAACAGTGGGTAAACCGGGCTTGGGAAGTGGGGCATCAGTATTTGCAAATCTCACTGCATCGACTGACTATATAATTTGTTGTCGACACTGAATAATCAATTGCTTGTTATATTATCTTTGTGTGACTGAGTCATAAACTCATAATTGGTCATATATAATATATATATATATATATATTTTTTTTTTTTTTTCAGTCGTGTATAGTTCTTCGATAACTTAAACTTAAATCATGTGTCTTCAATCAAACGAGATGATTTTTACTTTTACCCTTTCAACAGTGGCTGTGTGAAACATATTTTGTGTGAACTGAAATTTACCCTGAGACTTTAATAAAGCGAAGATTAGTAGTCTACGAGCAGCCCATCCTTTTCGGCTAAGTCTGTCGCGCGAGCAAAAAAAAAATCAGTGGACCTCTCAGAATGAAGAGTCGTTCTTCCTCTTTTACGGAGCTTTCACGAGCGTAGGATAGGGTCCAGGTTGAGAAGCCACACGTCTTTTAAGTAAAGAGGCGCTCACACAAAATAATCGCTCTCTACTGAAACAATTTCGACCGTTGTCTTGTGCATTTCATGAAATGACCGACTTTCTTCTGTAAAATGATACTTTGCACGGGGCAAAAATTGCATACATAACACCAATCATAATTGATATTTTTGTGAACCTTTTTTTTTTTTTAATTTTTAAAAAAATTTTTTTTTAGATAATTAGGAGTTTAAATATGTAGTATACAGGACTTACCTCTTATCCGTTACAGATTTCTATAATTCGACTTACCTTTTAGTTAAGTTCTACGATTCTAATTCAGTCGACGATAGTATTCTGAACATTTTCGGAAACGACTAAGGCACTTCAGTTGTAGACCGTCAAACTACTCTTCACCATCAAGGCCAGCATCCTTCTTGATGACAACCTTCAGCGTTGGCCGGAGACCGCCATTCTCTCTTTCCTAAAAAGGTTTCCAATAGAGGACATTTTTTCAGGTTTCTAGTGTATCATTACTTGACCTGTGGGAGCGAGACGAGGTTGTCTGACTATGGCTTTTAATATAAGTTTCCATCGATTTGTCTGATTGCCATATGTTCTTCAATACCCTTTGTTCCTCGTTACCGGTACCACCTAAGGACTCTCTAAGCAAGTTTTGTTAGAAAATGCTCAATAGTGAATTTGTTTAAATGTAAATTTGAAAGATCTCACACTCCCATAAACATCATCGGTGAACAGCTACCTCTGCATGTTTTCAAGGTGGCTGTTATGGGAGGATTCTTATGTAAAAAATCCAATGCATCGGGGTAAATCAAATTACCGTCAATAACTAAGATATTTTAATAAGCCCTCTTTGATCTCAGGTTGGCTATTAGGCATACCAGCCTTTGAAAACGTTTTGAATAGGATCACTCTTCTCCAAATTATTCTTGGTGTTTTTTCAAGTTTGTTGCTTTTTCGTCTTCTAAATTTCTTTTCCGAGACTGCACCAGATCCAGAGAGTGGTAAGAAACAGGAAGTTTCGAGAATGATAATCATAGTTTTTGTTATTGAATAAAAAGCCTGAAGCTATTTCTGCCAAACACTCACAAAAGTAAATGATAATTATGAGGTCAATGATGATGAGGAAAAAAAAAGCTGGTAACAAATATCTCCCGTGAAGATTAAACATAATTTATTGAGATTTATTGTTTTGAGCGTTAGAGCTTGAAACCAGCATTGAATGCCATCACGAACTTATTTGTAATAATCGAAAGCGAGGATTTGAATTGAACAAGTTTTTCTTCGCCGTAAGCGACATTGTCGTAGTAAACGGGTCATAATAAATAAGAAATGTTGTACTTTAGGGGAGTTTGGAAATTCGCTATGTAACCATTGATTTGTTTCTTTGCCAAATGTAGTTATGATGGTTCCTTAATGATCTCCGTATTGGTCTCTTAAAATTTCTCTGTCTCGTAAGCTTGATATTGCTCATAAATTATAGATGCTTTTAAGTTAAGTCTTCTCTCTTTTCAAAAGAACACGCCAACTCCTTATGAAATGTCCTTACAGAGAAAAGGAATGAACGTGTTCCTTTTTTTTTTTCAATATCTGACTCCAGCAGTTCGCCGGTTACTTTAAATAATGTCGAATGAACAGGGTTGGTTTCAGAGCAAACGCGTCAGTGTAAACTTCTGTGTGACGCTAATCGCTTCCTCCACTGTCAGTTAAACTCTCTGAAAACTCCCTCTACATACATCAAGATTGTGTCACAGATCACGATTAAGAACAAAGTCATATAGCTTTGCCAATTCTAGATCAATCGCTCCTCGCTAAGAACGTGATAAAAATATATCATTAATCGAGATTTGTTTACTTAGACGGAAACACTCAAGAGAGCAAAACTATATTTAGAAGAGTTCATCACGAAGGTATATTCATCTAAGTGATGTTTTACTAAAAATTTGGAAAGCAAATTTCTTTACTTCTTTTGCTTTGTAACACTCCTTCATGAATTGTCATGTTGTGAAAAGACACCTAAGAAACCATTGCGTGTCATCTAAATTTTAAATTCATTCAATGCGGAAGACAATGCCCGGAGGCATGGCAAATTCCAATCATGTAGAACGATTTGATTGTTTGTGAAGAACTGAGGGGCAGAATTAGATATCACAACGTTATTCATTCACCTGTCAAGGCTCCAAAGTGGCAATTAAGATAAAGCATTGTTGAGACATCCGCCCTATTTCTGAAATATACCTTACTTAACATCGATTAAGAGAAGTACATTTCACCGCACTCTGGTGTTTTTTAGCCTGTTATTATCTGGCACACGAGTCCGCGAGGTAAAACCTTGTTTAAAAAAGATTGCAAAAAACTCTAACGTTTATCATGCAAACATTTTCAGAGTTTGGAGATAACAAATGAGAGGTTTCACTGCTTGGTTATCAAATTCCTTGTTTCCTGCTTCTATTTCATGCGACTTTGCAAAGTGACGCCTAGTTTTAAATTGCTAAAATATATCGTTTGTCGCTCAGAACGTTTTAGATTCTGGCGATAAAAGATAAGAGGTTTCACTTGACTGGACCACACAGTAAGAAATACACTCATAACTGGCTGATACAGACTAATTTGCCTCCACATTGATATTTCTATAACAACTACGCTGAATGGAAACTCACTTCATAGAAAAGATTATAGGGCTGTCACTCGAAGCGTTTAGTCGGAGTTATTGGCCCAGTATCTGCCAGCTTTGTGCTGTGCCATTAACAAATAGGCAAACACTTGTACTGAACCATCACCATATTATCCCAAGATTTCCATAACATACTTTCAGAACTAAGTGAAGTGAAACTACGAGAACTTTGTGATTGAGCCTGAGAAGATTTCGAGTTCAGCAAAGTACGAATATACTTTGTATAAGCAACATTTTATTCTCATCGTTATCTTGATTATTGCATGCCATTATTGGCGCATTTGGCCGCGGTTAAAAGTCGTTGGAATAAACATATCAAAATAATGAAAAAACTCAATAGTTAATGATGTCTCAGAGAGCTAATTTCCGTCGTTTTTTATGAGAATTGGGCGTAGAATGCTTTAAGCAGAGAACTTTTCATTTATTTTTTGTTTGTCGTCATTACCTATTGATTAAAAATGCTATTTAGCATAGAAACACCGGGTGATCTTTTACCAGACCAGTTCAAGTTTAAAACTTGGTATTGTAGAACTAAAGGATTGTGTAGAGCTTCTTGAAAACTACTTCCCCGTGACAGGAGGCTTCCTCAAAATCATCCTTTATTTTTCTCAAAATGGATATGGAAATTGATTGTGTGAATTTCACTGCATTTGGGTCTACAAAGACTTCTTGTTACTCTGTATGTCTTTGGTGCTTGAGATACTCTTAAAAAAGACTTGTAATAATCTACGCATCGCTGAGTCTGACTTTTAAGTCTATATTGAAGTAAATGGCAATTTGAACACTCCATCGTATACCCCAGGTGTAAAATAAACCGTCATTCATTGAAACCTGTCTTGCTTCGAAGTCATCCAACACATTGACCACTATCTAGACGTAGTTGGTCAGATGTAAAGAGTGAAAACACAACCATTAAAGGTTGTCGCGTTTATTGCCATTCTGTTTCATCTAACAAATTGTCAGCGAACAGCTTTAAAACTAATTCAGTGGACATTGGTAAAAGTCAAAGACAAGCGAACGTGGATCAAAAAATAGTTTCAACTGCATACTCTTTTGAGAAAGAACCAGACTTTTCCAGCGTGAAATTAAAAATGAAGGTCGATCATTCATATCTGTCAAATCCAGATTTCCTTTTTATTACGGACTATTTACCTATTTTAAGCTTTTCCAATTTAAATTTTATACCACACGCCACGCGGTTTTGTCTAACATCCAAATGATTTTTCATAAAAATCAATTAAAAAAAAACAGAGTGAGGGCAGAGTTTAATCAAAGTACTCTACAGTTCTTTGCCTCCAGCGAAGTAGACATTTTTGATAGCGGACGGGGAAACGTTCTGGCCACTGAACAATTTTAATTTCCTGGTGTGGTTACAAATTCATACGACAGAGTTAACTTGACCTTTTTGGATATGAAAGGGGGTACTTTCCATTTGTGCCAAAAATTCCATTTCTTTTGGTGGGATAAAAAAAGGGAACTGCTTTCTGGTCTGACCTATTACGGTTTTTTTTCCGTAGGTAAGGAATACCATGATCAGAAGTATTCCAAAATTTTATTCGTTTTACTTAAATTAACGGAGAATGATTCTACAATTTTATTTTCCCACTCCTTCCTAGTGCCACGATGAAAATATTTTTTGTCAGTCATGTTTGGTGTTGGAAGTTTTTTTTTAATCCAGCTTCACCTGGGGAAAAAAGTCTGATCCGTGCAAAAGACATGTACTTTCGATTTTCTCGTACAGGTGAAGCACCCTTGGCTGACATTACATAGATTCATAAGCCGCTGGACATGCTGCCAGTTTTCCTTACAAAACTTCTTTTACTGTATTTGCCATTCATTGGAAAAGGCTGCTCGCGAAGAAAAGCTTTCTGTTGCTTGTGTTCGACTTTTGAATTTTCTGCGATCGTAGGTGTGTTCATCGAGGCCCATAACTCATTATTGACTCAAGTAAATTCGTAATTAGTCCAATTGTGTGCCAACAACAACGGCAAATCAGAAAGGAAAATACCCATAGGAGCCAATGACAACTCAAACTAAAACCAACAGAACTTCCTAAAGAGCGGGAAAACGCGGGCGACCAAGTCGTGATTTGCTTTAGTTTTACATCCGATTGGTTGAGAAAGTGGCGCGAGTTTTCTGGACCAATCGGAGTTAATTAAAGCAGAATGAATGCATTCCCAGATCACTCTCGACAC